CCGACTATCAACATTCTCAGGGTTACCACTGACTGGAAGCTTAACTCACCACAAACACAGTGGCTACAAGAAGCAGGTCAGAGCCTAGGAATCAAGGGGCTAGTAACTCACCTCCTGTCTCCCCAAAACCAGTTCACCATCTAGAAGGCACAAGTCAGGATTGTGATGGAATGTACAGCTCCAAAAACACTCAAGAAATTCAACATCATTCAGGACTGAACAGCCCACCTGGTTGGCACCCCATCCATCAACTTCAACATTCACTTCCTTCACCACTGGCACACAGTGATATCAGTGTGTGCCATCAACAAAATGCATTGCAACAACTCACTAAGGTTCCTTAAACAGCGCCTTCCAAACCTGTGACCATTTCCACCTAGAAAGACAATGACAGCAGGTACATGGGAACAACACCATCTGCAAGTTCCCTTACAAGCCACTCACCATCCTGGCTTGGAAATATATTGTTATTCTTTCACTGTTGTTAGGTTAAAATCATTGAACTCCCTTCCTAAAAGCATATCTACACTCCAAGGACTACAGTGAGTCAACACCATCTCACGACCAGCTTCTCAAGGGTAATCAGAGATTGGTAATAAATACTGGATAGCAATATCCATATCCCATGAATGAATAAGTGAAAAAAAAGACCTTAGCCTATAATTCTTAGCTTACAAGTACTACGAGAGGGCTGTTCTGTCCGTGCTGCCACTTTTCAGGACTGATGTTAAACAGAGACCTGTCTGACTTCCCAGGTGGATGTAAAGATCCCACTGTCTTCCTAGAGTCCTGTGCAATTTGTTTCTCTCGAATACTTCTAAATGCAGAACCAGTCTATGAAGTAATGATCCCCCCAATGGCCCACATTTTAACGTTATGCCCTCTTAATCTCATCTTGGCGTCAACTCCATTTTCCTGCCCACTTTCCGTAACCCTTCATCTGTTACTAATTAAAGATATCTCTATCTTCTCCTTCAATTTATTCAATGTCCCAGCATCCACTCTGGGGTAGTGAATTCCACAGATTCATGACCCTTTGAGAGAAGTAATTTCTCATCTGTTTCATCCTCATCTAAATCAACTACCCCCTGTCCTAAAACTATAACCTAAACTCAAGAGTACCGGCCTAAGCTGCTCACTCTCTCTTCATAAGACAAACCCCTGATCTCTTGAATCAATTTAATGAACCTCATCTGAACTGTTCCCAATGCAATGACATACCTCCTCAAGTAAGGGACCAAAACTGTATGCAGTACTCCAGGTGCGGTCTCACTAATGCCTTGTACAGTTGCAGCAACACTTCCCTATTTTTATACTCTATTCCTTCACCAACAAATGCTAAAATCTCATTTGTCTATCTTATTACCTGACATACAAGTTTTCTACAATTCAAGCACCAGGGGACACAGATCCCTCTGCACCGAAGCACTCTGAAGTTGCTCTCTATTTAGATAATAAGTAGCCTTTCTATTCCTCCAACCAAAATGGATAACCTCACACTTATCCATGTTAAACTTCAAATAAATGGGTTTGCCAACTATTTTTAAATTTAGTCCAATATTTGTAAGAACAGAAATTAAGTTTTTAAAACCAAATTCACAAAAATGATTTTTTTTTCACAGCCCAAGACCTCGTTACCAAACCAGAACAAGAACATGGAGCACAGGATCACTTAGGCTGGGGGAAATCGGGCACTCGAAGTGGGGAAAGCAGCTGATCTGGAATCTCAGGAGAGTGGCTGAAAACTGGACGAGGCTGATTACTTGGTGCGGATCCTGTGCTGGCTTGCATATTGAGACAGAGAAAGGCATTCTCATTTGAGATGAAAGACGTAAATTGTGGAGGAAGGGGTGGTCAGTTCCAGGGGTTGGGTCCGGAGCAGCTGAGATTGGGTTCAGAGTGGGGCAAGGGTGTTGTAGGACAAAGGTATTGGGTTCTGTGGAGGTGTCAGATTAGGGTCTGGGGGGAGATGTAGTTCAGGGTGTGTGAAGTAAATCCAGGGTGAGCTGAATTAGGTCCTGAAGAAGGGTAATACCCAAAACGTCGACTTCTCCTTTCCTCCAGATGCTGCCTAATTCAATCTCTGTCTGGAGATGACAAGTCATCAATAGATAAGAAGTATGAGCAGCTTTAGACCAGTCAGCCCATCACACTTGCTCCATCATTCAATATAGTCATGATTGGATTTGAAATGCAAGATCACTCTCCTGCCCACTCCCTGTAGCCCTTGTTTCCACAAGAGACCCAAACATCAGCCCAAATCAGCCTTAAACATATTAAATGACGGAGACTCTACAATCTTTTGGGACAAAGAGTTGTAAAGAGCACCCAAAGAAATTTTCAGGTGGCACGGTGGCTCAGCGGTTAGCGTTGCGGCCTCTCAGCATCAGGGACCTGGGTTTGATTCTACTCTTGGTGACTGTCCGTGTGGTGTTTGCACATTCTCCCCGTGTCTGAGTGAGTTTCCTCCCGGTTTTCCTGTATCCTCCCACAGTCCAAAGGTGTGCAGGTTAGGTGTAATTTCCACATGTCCTTTAGAAGTTTGTTCAGACATTAAGTTACTGTGGTACAGGTGATGCTGCGTAAATGCTGAACATTTATGGTTAGATCTTGTCTCTAGGAATTCCTGCTATCCAAGAACAAACTAAAACTTTAAGACTATTCTCTCAGTCATCATTTACCCATACGGGTGTTACGAACCATGCCCCGTACCCCATTGCCCCCAAATTAATATGATACATGGAACCTGAAGTGATACAAACACACTGGATGTAACAGATCCCTTTCAGTCCTTATTGAACACCACCACATTGTGAACAGGCGGTAGCACTGCAACTCAGATTAATGGTTAGATCAACAATATTTCCATGAAATGAACTTCCTGAGGAAGTGGTGGATGCGGGTACAATTACAATGTTTAAAAGACATTTGGATGGATACATGAGTAGGAAAGGTTTGGAGAGATATGGGCCAGAAGCAGGAAGGTGGGCCTTGTCTGGGATTATGTTTGGCATTGACTGGTTGGACTATAGGGTCTATTTCTGTGCTGTATGACTATGAAATGTGTTAGGAGGTCACATCTGAGCATGTTGACTAACTCTGCTGTACCTGTCCTGGGAGTGTTTGATTCTGTCACTATGTAGGCTGAAAATTTCTCCATTGAATGCATTTGATGTTCATTATATTAAAACTAAAGTACAACTCTCGATGTGGGCTCATTTTGAAATTACAAAATTGACAGTATCAGTCATAATAAACACACTGCAAACCTTAGCATGCCTCTTTCATTAGGTAACACTGACATAGCAGAGTACAGGAGATCTGAAGACATTGTGGTGATACTCTGGAAAGAGAATGTTTAGATTTATTCAGATTCCAGCATCACCAGCACCAAAAGGACAAAGTGCTGAAAATATTCAGTAGCTCAGGTTGCATGCATAGATATGAGAGCAGAGCCAGCATTCAGGGCAATGATATTTCATCCAAATCTAAAATGTCTATTATGTATTTTGGTTTTGTATTAATTAGATTGCAATATTGTACTTGTAGAAAATCTTTATCATTGATAGCAAGGCAAGATATAAAAAGTGAACAAGGAAGAACAAATGAGTCTGCCATTAAACAGAACATCTCAGCATTCTGAAGTTAATTTTATGGGTAAAAGCAGCAGCCATTTTGTGCAAAGCAGAAACACAGGACTTAGATCAGGAGTAGACCATTCAGCCTTTCCAGCAAACCCCCTCCAAACAGAATGCAAAAACCCAACCCACAACGTGAATGAATGGCCAGTCAATCTGTTTTTGATGGTTTTTGGCTGAAAGGGGAAATGTTGGCATCAGGAGAATTCCTTGGTGCAGTTGTTTGTTTGTTCGCCGAGCCAGCTGTTTCATGGTGTGCAGAAGTTTCGTTACCATTCTAGGCAACATCATCACTTCTGATTGTTTTTCAGCAGTGGTCAGACTGGGAGTGGCAAGACCCACCACACCAGAGAATCATATAAATTCGGAACAGAGCAGAACACCAATTCTTCGATTAGAGGTCGTACTGATGACGTTGCCTAGAACGGTAACGAAATGTCTGCACACCAAGGAACAACCGGCTCAGAGAGCAAACAAACAACTGCATCCACAACCCGAGCTACTTTTGCTAAGACCTTAGGAATTCCTTGGTCTTCTTTCAATAGTGCCATAGGACTTTTAACATCAGAAGCTCAGTTTAACATCCAAAAGACAGAAACTTTGACAGTGCACCTTACTCTTTTTACACTGAGCATTAGATTATCTGGTCAAATCCATGGATTTGGGCTTCAATCTTGAAGTTCAGAGATGAGTGTGTTAACATCTGACGTAAGTAGGCACTCCATGCCAATCAAGCTGAATAAACTTTCCACTTCAGTTAAATCAATCACTATGGTAAGGCCTCTCAGCTTAGATCATCTTAAATTTAAAGTATTCTGAAACTGCTTTAAGACTCAAATTTATATAGCACTTCAACTGTAGGCATAATCCTGACTTCACTGATTGGGGACATTACATTTCTGTTGCCTACCAAGGTTGAATTCTGGAGTCAACTTGGTAGCACTGAAGATCGAAAGCAGAACAAAACAAACGTATATTCCTTACACCTATATTACCCACAGAAATTACCTTCATTCCAGCACGCTGAGCTGGGTTTGAAACTAGCAATGATGCACAATATTCTAATCAATTCCAAATTCCTCAATGAATATAAGGAAGGGAATGCATGCCAACACTTAATCAAAACGGGTGTACTTCAAAGGAGTTGTTTCAGAAATAGTAGGAACTGCAGATGCTGGAGAATCTGAGATAATAAGGTGCAGAGCTGGATGAACACAGCAGGCCAAGTACTTCAAAGGACTTGCTTTTGAATGGTTTTGTGGGGAGATTTTGTGCTAGGATGCTGAGTTTCATAGTAAAACAAATATAATCACCGATCTGACTGTTAAAATATAAGAAATAATTGCCATAAACCTGACTGAATAAAAATAAAATCCAATTTATTCAGTCATTGTAAGTCAAGGAACCCAATATGAATCCATATCCAATCTCTTTGTGATAACATGGGTCCCACATTACACAAATTCATTCAGAGCCAACGAAACACAATCAAGAAAACAGCAGCCTCTTTGATATACATATATATATTTTTCTTGTACAAAGTTACATTCTGAACCTCAAAGGTTCATTAATAATAGGTAATAAATACTGAAATGGCTACACTGGAATATGAGCTATTGAGCTCACCATAATGAAGCCTTGGGTTTCAACAGAGACCAATTCAACACCGGAGCATTCAGTTTTCAAATTATAGAGCAATTAAAATACAAGTGTCTAAAGAGGTCAACTTACAAAAAAGAATACAGACCATAAAATTTGTATTTTTTTTTAAAATATGCTTAGAGAGACAATGTTTCTTTCTCAACAAAATTGTCAATATAATGAAAGCATTTCTGTTAGAGAAAAGACGACATTTTAGTAGTGTGTATAAAATGATTCTGAGGTGCAGCGCAGGTTGTTGACTTTCCCTGTCAAGTGTGTCCAGAGTTTTCTACAATAAATTGCAAGAAAGAAAACTGACCTGAACTGGATGCTAGTCCTCTAAACACCACAAGGCTCTAAAACAAGACTGTCTGATTGACTGGCTCTCTTTCTCTCTCGACTAATCAATTGACATGAATGCTACTCCGGGTAAATGTCCTTTGGTGACCGTGATAACACCCACACAGAAATAAACAGCTTTCTTTAGAATCATTGCAAATACAAATTAGTTCTTTAGAATAGTGTTAGCAAAATAACCCTCAAGAACTAACACCTGTTGTTTTACTAAGGCAGCCTATGTTCATTGAAGTGAAGTGACTATGCTCAGCAAGCGCTGTCTTTTAACAGTAGGAAGACCCTGTAGAAAGGACAAGAACAGGACAGCAGCTCAGAGATACTTACCTCCTGCTCTCTGTACTCCACCATGCAAACCGAGGAACCATGGTGAAGAACTGCTCAAACACAATGCGGTGAAGAAATTGAAACAAAAATAAACCAAATTAAAACAACATGCAAGGATTTTTGTGTACACAGTCATTCTGTCATGAAGTTGTGCCGTTCAGTCATCGTTGAACATGACTTGCCACACGATTAAATGACTTCTCTCTGCTTTGGCCAGTGAAGGCTGAATCTGTAACGTCTCCCTGAGCTCCTCCGTTTCTTCACTCTCATCACCTAAAGGGAATATCACATTTCAAACACTTGCTACAATCTATGAAGCCAATCAGAAGGTACCATAGCATTGTAATGCACAGAAGCCAGCCAACTGGCTCATTTTGCCTGAACCAGTTCTTTGAAAAAAAAACTATCAATTAGTGCCACCTCACTCTTGCAGCTTTTCCCCAAAGTCACTATGAATTTTGCTCTTTCACGTACTAATTCAACTTTCTGTTTCTATCATTTTGGACAGTGCTGCATATGTCTCATTGCTTTTTGTTATAAACTGAGAATACAAATATTAATCTGGAACCCATCTAAAGTGCAATCACTCAGAAATACAACAGCCCACTCACCAAAAGAACTCAAGAACACAGTTTAGATTGCCTGAGCTGGTTACTATATTACATTGGACAGAAGTTGTGGGGTTTACATGGAACGTACAGCATAGAAACAGGCCATTTGACCCAATTAGGGAATGCTCCTCAAATTGATATTTCACAACCATACAAAAGGAATTCACACTTCACAATCAGTCCAGGGGAAAACAGAGAAGACATTCCTGCAGCGCTGCCTATCATCAGACCTTTGATACAACGCACAGTGAGGGGGTCAGGTAGTGCAGCATATCAAGGAAGAATTGAAGAGCCTGACCAGTTCACTTTTCATGGATACCTACACTCTTGTCAGTCTATTTTTGGACATCAAGCAATAGTTACAAACATACAAGTTAATAAGAGTAGACCTTTGGACCTCTCTAATCTACTCCACCATGCAATAAGACCACGGTTGATCTGATTGTAGCCTCACCTTCACATTCTTGCCTACCACCGATAACCACAGATTCCTCATTACTCAAGAATCTATACATTTTCGCCCCGAAAATATTAAAGATCCCACCTCCATCGAGAATTTCAAAGACGCATATGCTTCAGATAAAATTCTCAACAGTTCCATCTTAAAGGAGGGCAGCCCTTATTTCTGAATTGTATCTTATAGTTCTAGACTCTTCCTCAAGAGGAAACATCCTTTAGCATCCTCACTGTCAAGTTCTTTCAGTTTCTTGTGCTTTTTTTGTTACTTTTATGTCCAATCATATTGCTTTTTGAAAAAAATGCCAGTTGTTGTTTCAATTCCCTTGCTGAAAGGCCATCCAAGGTAGCAGTCAGAGAAAGATATCAGTTCTGAGACAGACTTGCATGCAGTTGTAGTTCTAAAACAATGTTCCAGAGTCATCCTTCAGTCTATTCACTATTTCAGGTTTCTCTACTGTCCCCCCTCAGACTTCACACAGTACTTGCTAATGCAAAAAGATCCCTCTCATTTTTCTCCTTTCGTGGCTGTAAGGTTTCTCTAACCATTTCTAAACTCAGCCCTGGAGGAGAATTCAGGTCTCTACATCACATGGACTGGAATTGTGAAAGCGAGAGTGGGAAAGAATGAATAATTGGATGTGGTTAATACAGAACATACATTTGAAAAAGAAAATGATATCAAAACTTAATAATTTTGAAGTTAAGACCATAGGAAATAGGAACAGGAGGACAACATGTGGCCCCTTGAGCCTTCAGCAGGATCATGGTCGATCTGACATTCTTGCCCTTTCCCTGATGTCTACCTCGAGAGTTGGTAACTAGGTACATGCTGCCAGAGAAATGTACAACTTCAACAGGGGAATGTCAGACCTCTAATAGAACGTAGGACTGTAATCCAAGTTGTGGGCGGTTTATCAGTGTTTTTCTATTGGTAGCTTTCTTTTCAAGGGTAGCATTGAGTTTCATAACCATGACAGATTATGCAGCAGGCTCATCATTCAGATCCACCAGCCAGATAGTTATCTGAAGTGAGACCCACATACTATCAGCAGATGAGATGTGACGGAGACCCGCGTTCACACTCAGCAATTCCCTCTTCCTCAGCCAGGGGAAAAGAATATAGAATGGAAAATTAAAGAGAACTTCTCTGTTTTAGAACAGTACAAGAGAAGAAAGGATGGTCAAAAATCTAAGAAAAAGCCTAAAACATGGTAGACTTCCCTTAATGATGAAGTTCACATTTATGTGAAGCAGTAAACAAGAAATATCCTCACCCATTCTGAAGTCGATGTAGCCCTCACCACCGCTCATAACCAGCACTGATCTCACTGACTGCTGGTTGGATCCATCAGATGCACAAGCTCCTAATTTTTCTAACGAGTGCTCAACGTCACCATATGGTATACCTTGAGAATGACCAAACAGCAAAAAAAAAACATTTAAAATACTTTAGCCAGCTAAGATCATTTTACTTTTCAAGTAACACATTCATCCTGTAGTGTCCTTTTCAACATCATAACCATTAGCTGGAAGGCAGTGGCAACCTGATCTGTGGTTCAATCCTGGCCGACTGATTGTAGAGAGGTCTCATCAGAAATATCACCCTTGAAAGATGAAGTACTTTGCTGTAACAAAGTACATAACATGCCCACCTGCAACTTGAGTTCAAGGATTGTGGCACATTTATACTTGGCCTGGAGTTAGAGTACAGACCCTCCAAGCAGGAAATACTCTCAACTGCAAACAATGGACTGACTCCATTAAACAAACAACATGGTCACAGTTCACTTGCAATATCAATAGAAATCTATTCAGTTCGCAACAACAGAGGTTAAAAATTGTCCTCCTGTTTTGCGATACACCTTGAATCAAAATATTCTGAGCTGGGGAAGAAAGCTCACAAGTAGTTATTGGCTGGAATTTGTGGGAGTGGGAAAGAATGAATTATTGGGTGTGGTTAATACAGAACATACATTTAAGAAAGAAAATGATATCAAAACTTAATAATTTTGAAGTTAAGACCAAAAGAAACAGAAACAGCAGAAGGGCGTTTGGCCCCTTGAGCCTTCAGCAGGATCACGGCTGATCCGATATTCCTCTCGTCCACTTTTCTGCCCTTTCCCTGTAAACATCGATTCCCCGACTGATCAGGAATCTATCCATCTCATAAATATAGACATCTCTTAAATATAGACAAGAACTCTGTCCCCAGAGCTCTCTGTGGCAAGGAGTTTCAAAGACACTCAGCCCTCAGAGAACTCCAGTGAGCAGTCCCAACCTGTTTAACCCTTGCTCATAAGACAATCACTCCATACTGGGGACATCCTAGTTAACCTTCTCTGAACCACCTTTCTGTAAACTTTGTATCTCTCTCACTACTTGACTTTCCACCTATTTCTGTATCATCTGCAAATGTGGCCACAGTTCATATGCTTCTTCCCTCCAAGTCATTAATATATGTCTTAAAAACAGTTGTGCTCCCAGAACTGATTCTTGTGGAATTCCACTGGTTACACGTTGCCAATTTGAAAGAGAACCCCTTATCGCCGCTTGCTGTTTTATGCCCATCAGCCAATTCACTATCCATGCCAATATATTTCCTTCAACACCATGGACTCTTATTTTACGAATTTTATGAGCTATCTTGTCAAAAACCTTATGGAAGTCCAAATATAACATCTACTGGTTTCCTTCTATCCAATCTGAATGAAACCTCCTCAAAAAACTCAAATTATTCAAACATGATTTCCCTCTCATGATGCCATACCGACTCTGCTTGTTGAGATTACGATTTTTCAAATGTTCTGCTATTACTTACTTAATAATTGATTCCAACGTCTTTCCAAACAATAGAAGTAAGTTTAATCAGCTATAGTTACTTGTTTTTTGCCTTCTTCCCTTTTCAAGTAGGGGTAACACATTGGCAATTTTCTAATCCTCTAGTACTTCCCCAGAATCCAAGATGTTTCGGAAAATTTCAACCAATGCATTCAATATCTCTGTAGCTATTTTTGGAAGCCTGCAGAGCCAACGGACTCATCTGCATTTAGCCCCATTAGTTTGTCTAATACTACTTCTCTAGTGATGGTGATGGTAGTTAATTCCTCCCTTGTATTCTTTCATATTAACAGGATGTTTGAAGGATCTTCCACAATGAAGTTAGCTTGGTTCAGTTGTGAGCACAATCATTATACCCATTCTAGATCATAAGCACAAAATCTGGACTGAAATTTTAGTCATAGTGAGCGTTATGAATTGTTGGAAGTGCAATTTTTCAGACAGACAGCAAACCAATGCCCATCCTGATAGTATTCACCAGTGCTACTGAAGCTAAAAATCAGTATATATTGTTACGGCTCTGTCGGGAGGAATGCCCAAGTAATCCAGCCCCACCATTCCACCAGCCTTGCTGAAAATGTAAATGTTTGACTGAATCACCAAAATGGACAATTTGTCTCTCTTCCATACCAATATCAAGAGTAAAAGAGATGTCCACCAGGCTTCTTCTACGATCTCAAAAATAACTAAATTTACCATAATCAAGACTTATTCTTCTTTTAAAAAAAAGTGGCAGAAATGGTTAATAACTAAGTTACTATTAAGAAATAAACTATACCACCTTAAAACTAAGTGCACACATTCATAACTCTGTAGGTATAGATGGATTTGTAAAAGTAGACGAGAAAGGAATGACACCCATCAATCAATGGTACGAATTCCAAAAATGTAATTGGTTGGCTTCTCACAATTCCTTTGATTTCCTATCATTGTGTTCAGATTACTGACCGTCGCAGAACGATGGAAGATTCTCAGACCAGACTTCAGATTTAGACAAGAAACAGTTAGCAGCCTTAACACTTAAACATTATCAGGATTCACAATTATTTAACAGTGTCACAGCTAGTTTTACTTTGCCTCTTACTGACAGAGAGGGTTCTGCTTTTCCCTGCAAGCTTCTCCAACTGTCCATATCTGGGTCTGTGAAAACGCACAGTAACTTCAGTGCAAGAGATGGTTGCGAGACAATGAACAGCACAAATGCAGTCTGCTTGGCCAGCAACTAAGGGCTATAACATCCAGCTTTCACCTCTCAAACACATTATTTGATACTCTTTCCCAAAATTATCTGCTTTTCCAGTAAACAGCAGATAATCCAGTTTTCTTACAAATTAGAACTCAAAAGGTCAAAGATAAATCTCTTCAAAGCCAGCAATGTCCAAAACAGTTCCATATACTAATTTCTCACAGTACACAAAAATATATATAATCCCTAACAGTACTCTTCAAAGGGAAAGCAGCTCTCCCAGTGTGCTCTGGCCATCATTCCTCCTTCAATTAACATTCGGCAAAATGTATAACAACTACTGAGTCAGTAGGATATTGCTGTGCACAGTGAGTTATTTGTCTTCAAAACAGTAACCATGCTTCAAACCAATGCATTTTATGCTAAACGTATTCAGAGAAATTGAAAAAATTCTAGCAAGGTCAGCATTTATTGGCCAGGCCTTTGCAGCTTTGGTCTAGTCACATGACCAGGACAATACCTCTAATTGCAAAGCAGTTAGTCACATTCTCCAGATTCGAAAGAAAAGTCTTCTCCCTAATCAAGTGAATTTTATTTCATAAAGAAATTAGATTTGCCTATCACCGTGTCCCTGAGTGTAATACACATCTGAGATTCAGGAAAGAACCTGGTTTAGGAACCATGTCTCCAGCGTGAAGGCTGCCTGTAAATTGCTCACCTGGAACTGCGACAAAGAATTTCACAGCATCCCGGTGTCCATGGAAGCACAGCTGAGCATGTGCCATAGAACAGTAAGGTATAAATGTGCCAGGGGTGATCTTGTCACTATTTTCATCTCCGTAAACACGGATGACATTTCCAGGACGGTTTCCAGATCCCTCTGATGCCTTATTGGCTGGAGGAAAAAAATAAGAAAGCAGTAAATGACAATGGGGTTAGTGGAAAATGTACAAGATTTCTGGGAAAAAAATCATTACATATATTTTTGGAAAAAAAAACAGCCACTAGCATGGCAGGGTTGGCTGAAGCTTAAGCAAAATGAAGAAGTGTTAAATTAAAAACAGCTACTTTATGAAGAAAGTGCCAGTTCAAGAAAGATCTGAGGAAAAATTAAATCAATAAAGCATGCTCGGTTTTGTCTATGGTAGGAGGACATTGGTAATGGAGTATGCTTAATGCCAAGCTACCTCTTCTCTCCTGTCAATGAGAGCTCTGAAGACACTGGACTGTAGCATTGAGCAAATTGCATCTACTGCATTATTTACAGAAAATGTGACTGGGTTCAGACGAACAGGGTTTAATCAGGTCAGCAGTAAAACTTTACAAAAATGCATGGTGACATTTTCTTATATAAACTGTTCTCTAACTTTAGTTTTGTAGATATTTTATGCAAAGTGAAGTTTTAAATTTTTAGTCAAGTAAAATAGGTTTTCCTCTCGAGACTCCATGAACAGTGGTCAACTGTATTGGAGTCAATGGACAGGTTAACTTCAATGTTGTCTCTGGAAAGGTACAAGACCTTTAGTGACGCTCCTATCCTAACTGTAAGTACTAACCCATAGATTACTGGTATCTACTATTATATGACAAACTTCACGAAGTGTGAATACAAACAGTGGAAAGAACTCAAACACATTCACATTAAGCATCCAATTTGCTCTTATGAGCAAACCAAGAGTCTCCCTGTACAAACTAATCTATGAACTTTCAATCTATTAACTGGTTAACCTGTATGAAATATGCTAAGTTCTACAGCATTAACTCTCATCCTGACCTGTTGGATTCTATATTTGAAACAAATACTGCTGATAGTGTTGCACAGAAGACTCAGTGTTCTGCCAGAATTCGACTTTATTCCAAGTAAAACTGTTCTGTATTTTCAAGGCAACGTACACCTTTGCTAAGAAAGGAAATTTTTTTTTCCTGTAGGTTAGCCGAATAAAATGCTTCCAGAAGTTAGCCCACAGCTCAGGGAGTCAGTGCCTGCTGCATTAGGAAATGTTTTCTATAATCTTTAACTGGGCATTCCTGCAGCACCCTCCCATCTCCTTCAGATTACCATGCTGTGGATTCATTCCCCTCCCTTCCTGCAATGAACGTATATTCTTCACATAGAAACTTTCAAACAGGAAAAGTCTGTGATTATGCCTGGATTCAGAACAAGGCCCTGGGCAGTGAATACTGAAGAATGCTGGCCCACCTTAAGATCTCAATTCTAGCGACTCATCAAGAACTTGTCAACAGTAGGAATTTGATTTCCAAATATTAAAATATGCCCCATTTCATATCAATTTTCAACACAGACACATTAGCACTTGAGATGACCACACATGAGACAGCAGCTCCTATTCAACTATTCCTTTATCAAGTTTAAAATCGTGTGCAAGTTGAGACTATTCAAGCTGCAAACACCCAACTTTAATTTAATTAATCACATAACTTGGGTTATATGGCCTCAACAGATGAAAAGTTAATTTGATTCTTATTCCCAAAAGAAATAAACTAGCCCAATACTTCCCTAACTTTTAACAAAATGAGCTACATTTTTAACAAAAGGCTGAACATTAGACACATTCTCCATACCTATGCCACATGGGTATTTTTTAAAATTAGTAAATGGTACAGAATCACAGGTAAAGAAATAAAACACAGGCAGCGGTGTATGCACAGCTTCAGTGAGAAGACATTGAAATGACGGCCCTCAAGACAAAATAAAAGGTCCCTCAGAGTTGAGGAGTAGAACACTGAGTACTTAGCCTATTGTGACCATTCAGCAAACATACAAATTGCTGCAATGCAGTGACCAGCGCCAGGGTAACATTTAGACAAGAGAAAGAGAAATAAAAAAAATAGGACGGCAAACATTATAAATAAAAGGTGGATATAAACTGCCTTGATTGGCTTAAGCAGCCCGAAAGATAAAGATTCTGATGGTTAGATCTGCACTTACCCCTCAGACCCAGTAACCGTCCCTGGTGGAGAACTACAGCTATAGTGAGAAGAAGTGGCAAAGGGGGGAGTGGACAAGTGTGACAGTAGAGGAAAAGGATTAATAAGAACCTACCAGTTGTATCTCAAATCTGTACTTTCTTTTAAAATGTACAGACAGTGCTAGAACAAAACTGTTATTTGTCATCATAAAAAAAACTTTTGCAGCAGCTGGAATCACCGCTCTTGGAAATAAAATGGAAGAAAATTCTTTACAATAATAATTCTGGTTGATCTGCATTGTGTGATACATCTCTACTGACCACGGTTTGTGATAGCCCTAAATGTAACTGGATATGCACAGTTAAGACAGTACAACACTAGTTCACCAATAGGCAACTGTGCCAGTTTTATTCAAATCTAAAAGACCGTGGCCACTACACAATCTTTACCCAACCACTTCACTGCTATGGAATGGCTGTGCAGTCTATTTGAAAATGTAACACTGGCACTAAAATTTCAACCTCACTCAATTTTATGGACACGTTCTCAGGGTAGAAGATTGGGACGAAACTGCGTACCCCTCCATTGCTTTTGAAATCAAACATCGCTTCTTTGTGACAAATGTGATAAAAAATGTTGGACATACTCAGCAGGTCTGGCAGCAGCTATGGAGGCAGAAACAGAATTAAATTTAACCAATACTCTTCATCAAAACACAGTACTTAGAAATGAAGTAACTTTTAAGCAAACAGAGAAAGAATGAAAAAGGTCAGAGAGAGATGAATTATAGAAGTTACAGCACGTAGAGAGGCTATTTGTCCCATTGTATCTGTGCCGGTTTGTCACAAGGACAACTTATTTAGTCCATTCTCACACTGTTTCCCTGTAAGCTTGCAATTTTTCTTTCTTCGGGTGCTTCTCCAATTCTCTTCTGAAAACCACAATTGAATCCACTTTCAGCACACTCTCTGCATTCTAGATTCTAAAGCTTTGCCTAAAACGAAATAAAATAAAATTTCTGAAGAAGGGTCCCAACCCAAAATATCAACTTTCCTGCTCCTCTGATGCTGTCTGGTCTTAGAATCACAGAATCATAGAATCCGTACACTGTGGACACAGGCCCTTCGGCCCAACAACTCCACACCGACCCTTGGAGCATCTCACCCAGGCCCATCGCCCTACAACCCACCTAATCTACACATGCTTGAACACTACGGGCAATCCATCTAACCTGCACATTTTTGGACTGTGGGAGGAAACCAGAGCACCCGGAGGAAACCCACGCAGACACAGGAAGAATGTGCAAACTCCACACAGACAGTGGCCTGAGGGTGGAATTGAACCTGGGTCCCTGGTTCTGTGAGGCAGCAGTGCTAACCACCGAGCCACCGTGCCTGTGGAACAGGTAACCCATAACCCTTGACCCCGTTGATAATCAAGAACCTGTCTATCTCAGTCTTAAATGTACTACTGTGCTGGTAGACAGGAGGAATCCGTTTCCCTTGACAGAGAGTTCAAAAACCAGAGGTCATCAATTGAAGCGAAGTGGCTGAAGGATCAGAGGATACGTGAGGAAAAATGTTTTTTTTGTGCAGAGGGTGGTGGGTATCTGGAATTCGCTGCCTGAATTAGTGGTGGAGTCAGAGACTCTAAACTGTTTTAAAGCTAAATTACCTGGATCTGCACCTTAAGTGCTGTAAGCTGCAGGGTTACAAGCCATGTGCAGGAAGATAGAATGAGAAGGAGCATCTGGGGTCTTTGGGACAGAATGGACAAGATGGGCCGAATTGTCCACTCTTCTTTGTTCCTCCAGCTGCACACGGTGTTATCTCTGACTCCATCATCCGCAGTTCTTGCTATCTCTAAAATTTTATAAAATTGTTTCCATGGCTTTTTAAAAAAAATTGTCAACCACTTTAAATCTGTACCCTAAGGTTCTCAATCCTTGCACCAATGGGAAGTTTCTTCCCATCTACTCTTTCATTATTTTGGCCACTTCTGTCAAATCTTCTCAGTGTCTCCTTTTGTTAGAGAGACATAATGTCTCCATCTTCAATCTTTCTTCACAACTGAAGTCCCTCATTTCTGGAACCATTCTCATGAATCTCGTGTACCCTCTCTAACATCCTTCCTTAAATGCAGTGTCCAGAACTGGTCGCAATGCTCCATTTGAGGCTGAAAATGTTTTATACAAATTTAACATAGCTTTCTTGCATTTAGATTCTACGCCATTATTGATAAAATGAAGGATGCTGCGTACCTTGTTAACCACTCACTTAAATCACTGAAGGTCACAAGACAATTATACATCTATACACGCAGGTCATTCTGCTCTGGCACTCTCCTTCAGAACTGTACTCTATTTTACATTGCCTCTCTGCCTCCTTTTCCCTCCAGACACTGCCATATACACTGAGTATTTCCAGCACTTCCTTTTTCTTTCAAATTTAGAGCATCTGTAGGACTTAGTTCTTACATGATTCCTTTGTGTATTGTCTTCAAGTGAACAACAATACCTTGTATCTGACAATCAGACAATGGGTGGGGGTTCAGAAAAAAGGGCACTTTGCCTCCTAATAAATGGGAATGGGATAGTGGGAGAAGGAAAGAGAGGGAAGAATCCAAGTGGAATTCTCTTACTGGGTGGCTGGTGAGCATGATATCTGGGAGCAGAGACATTGCCCAAACAAGACCTGTAGTCACCAGGAGAGATTATCAGTGATGCTAGCTCATCAATAGTAAATGGATAATCTCAGATAAAATTTTAAATACTTCAAGTAAGAGTCCAGGGTTAAAACACAGAAGAGAAACATTACATAAGGTCTTCATCATTCAATCGCAGATAAACTCCATGCACTAATGGGTTTGTACTTAAGAGATGCGTTGTGAAGGGCCCACAAGAGCAACACTACCCAGCAATTATTTTGGTCACACCCACAACCTTACACTCCAGGAAAAATGACAGAGATACAGAATCTCTTAGAATCACTCACAACGGCCTGACATAAGGCAGGATGAGAACCTGCTGTGTGGAAAATTCAGATAGTCTCTAAAGACTTTGAAAAATTAAAAAGGTTTTGGGCCAATACTGTCTTTATTGGTCAGTGCATTGAGTATAGGAGTTGGGAGGTCATGCTGCGGCTGTACAGGACATTGGTTAGGCCACTTTTGGAATACTGTGTGCAATTCTGGTCTCCCTGCTAAAGGAAGTACGCTGTCAAACTTGAAAGGGCTCAGAAAAGATTTACAAGGATGTTGCCAGGGTTGGAGAGTTAGTACTATAGGGAGAGGCTGAATAGTCTGGGGCTATTTTCCTTGGAGCATCAAACGCTGAGGGGCTACCTTATAGAGGTTCATAAAATCATGAGGAGCACAGATAGCATAAATAGACAAGATCTTTTTCCCCGGGGTGGGGGAGTCAAAAACTAGAAGGGCATAGGTTTAAGTTGAGAGGGGAAAGATTTAAAAGGGACCCAAGGGGCAACTTTTTCACATAGAGGGTGGTGCATGTATGTAACGAGCTGCCAGAGGAAGTGGAGGAGGCTGGTACAATAACCTTTTGAAAAAACATCTGCATGGGTATATGGATAGAAAGGGTTTAGAGTGATATGGGCCAAATGCTGGTAAATGGGACTAGATTAATTTAGGATATCTGGTCGGCATGGACGAGTTGGACTGCAGGGTCTGTTTCTGTGCTGTACATCTCTATGACTCTATATGCCTTAACACCCAACATGACAGGCTAGTTTAAACTGAAGAATAACATTATGCTGGATCTGACAGAGGTGTCGAAGCAGTGTGGCTAACTGTTCAACACTAACTTTGTGTCCTTTCCACTGCAAAGGAGAGTGACAACATCAGATGTTAACACATCTTAGAAGGACTGGGGCTTTCACAGTTGCCTTCTACTTCGTTTCCCCATCACTGCTGTCTGTTTTGAAGAAGCTGGCATTGTGTGACACAGAATGGGATTGATTTCTATCTCTCCTCACCTTAAATTATATTACGTTTTCCTCAGAATGAGGCAGACGATAGCCCAGAATGAGTTTTCCTCCTTTGGAGGCTAACCAGGAAAGCAGGAAAAACTCAAAGGCACACCATTATCCATGAGCAGACAAATCATACCTCATATAAAAATTTCCTTTGCCACGCTTTGTTCTCAAACTATACTCTGCATCCCCATCTTCCCATCACCATGAAAGGAATTACAACTGGAGGAAACAAGGTTTGATGTTTGTTTCCATGAGTTTCATTTGCAGACTGCACTGACATTTTAGGCTGATGACTGGAATTTATCAGAGAAATCACTATTAAAGCTTTCTAGTTTTTAAGAGAAGTTGCCTTTTTGATATAAACATTCTTAAATTATAATTTGGAGTTGAGCACTGAAAAAGTATTATACTGCTCTGAATGCACATTAAGTGTATGTGTCCAGACTGGAGTGTTTACATGCTTTCAATTTCCCCTAGACCTTCTAGTACTACAAACAGGAATTTTATACGCGATCTAAAGCAAAACAGTATTCTAACATCAAGACTCAAACCTCCATCACCTGCACACAACAGCAGCAGTTTGTACGATCCAAAGGTTTTACTGCAACAGCCTGTCAAGGCTTCTTTGAGAGCATCATCCAGATTTATCACCTCTACCATCTAGAAAGAGCAGGTGAAGCATGTGAACACTGCTGCCTTCAAATTTTCCTCCAAGTCACAGGCCATCCTGACTTTGAACTATGTTGCTGTCCCTCCACTGTTGCTGGTTTGTAATCCCGAAATTTCCTCCCTACCAACACTGTAGGTGCTCCTACATCAGGACTCCAACATCAGTAGTGGTTCAAGAAGGCAACTCATCATCACACTTCTCAAGAGCAATTAGCAATAACGACAGTAAATGCTGGTCTTGTTGGACATAGCCACATCCAGTGCTCCTCCAGCTCTTTTTCAGACTTTCCATTAAGAGACATAACAGAAATCAAAGCTGATGGATATCAATGCATAGCATAATCTTATGTACAGAAAATAAACCAGTCTTCCAAGCAGAAGTAAAATATGTGGTCAATATGCAGTTTAAAATTCTGAGCTTTTCCTACCTTATGAAACCACTATTTAGAGCGAAAATCAAATAGTTCGAAGAACTATAAAAGGCAGCACAAAAACTCCCTTCCCACCAACCAGAGGGTAAGCTTGTTTCTGTTCCTTAGAACTCAACTTCAATACAAAGATACATAGCATACTTGGGTGCCCTAATCAGCAGAGGGAAAGCAATGAGAAAAGACGCACACGTAAATCACTTTGTTTTTCCCAAAGTGATACCCATCACTTACTTTCTGTTAGAGGGATGGAGATGATTACACCATTGCCTGTGCCCACCCACAGGCGGTTGCAGGATACCATGAGAGCTGTGATTCGCACAAAAGAGAAACCAAGTTTCCCAGTACCTTAAAAACAAACACCAACAAGTAATAGTAATTTCAAACATGAAGAACATATGCCAAGAATGTTAGTCTGGAGAAGATCAGAGTATACTACCTCCTCTCTCCAAATACAAATAATTAAAAAGTAAACAAATGTAAAATTTACAGTTGTTATTTCCTAATTATGCAACAATATCCTTTCCTCTCCCCCTTGAACACATCAGATGGGATATTCATCCATGATCAGAATGATGCCCACCTCCAGCTCAATGGTGCTTTGGAGACTCAAATGGCAGATTTACTTTGCAGGAATAGCTGCCACAGTTCAAATATTCCTCATAATCTTATTCAATACCTTGCTTTTCCTAAAAATTTAAGAGATTAATCAGGATCAAACTCTCACTTATGAGGACCAACTGCACCTGTACACTCACTGTCTGCAGTAAAACATCAAATTAAAGAAGCGAGTAAACACGCAACCCCTAAAGTTACTGGACATCTGTCATCATTAATAGCTACATGTCAGGCTAAAATACATTTCAACTAATTTCTCTACAGCTTTTAATCACCTGTTTTTGGAAATAATAATGCTTGGAATGGCTAATTAAACATACAATCAGCTAGCTAGATTGGTGGTTGAGAAGATGCATAGGGATAATTATAAAGATATAAGCCAAATAAATTTACAGCACAGAGAGACTTTCATTACTCTGCCTGAACTCTTCTAGAATAATCTGAAACAGACTGTCCTGGTCTCACCCTATGGCCTCATTCATTTCTTTACTACATCATTCTATCTACATTTTCTCTTACTGCAATACAACTGTCTTTGTCTCATCCATTCCTGGCAGAAAAGCATTCCATACTCCAACAATCCTGCGTAAAAATGCCTGCCTCTCATCTTTCTTCTTGTTCCGTACACTAATGGCAGGGCATCACCAAGTAGCAAGCTGGTCTTTCCTTACTTATCAGCAAAATCGCTCATTTTAAAGACCTCCATAAGTGCATGACCTTTCTATGGAACCTTATAGCCTGCTCTGAACTAGGGAAAATAAGCACAGTATCTCAATTCCCTACTTTCAACTAAAAACTGGAAGTGCTAGAAATATACAATAGATCACTAAGCATTCATAATGATCTTAAGCAATGTTCATACTCATTGTCACAACCTGCATTATCTCTTTACAAATGCCGAATGATCCAATGCATATTTTCAACATTTGCAATGTTCCATGACATTTTGGAATAGTTTCCTATCTCTGACTCCAATTGTCTTTTATGTATCTTCTCCTTCAAGTCCAGAATTGGTGGTAAAGTTGACAGTGAAGGGGGTTATCAAAGATTACGAAGGAATCTTGACCAGTGGGGCCAATGGGCTGAGAAGTGGCAGACAGAGTTTAATTTGGTTAAATGTGAAGTATTGCATCTTGGTAAAGCGACAAGGGTAGGACTTATATAACTAAAAATACAGCCCTAGGTAGTGTTGTCAAACAGAGAGACCTAGAGATTCAGATACATAATTCTTTGAAAGTTGCATCACTGGTAGGCAGGGTGGTTAAGGTGTTTAGCATGCTTGCCTTCATTGTTCAGACCTTTGAGTATAGGAGTTGGAACATCATATTTAGGTTACAGAGGACATTGGCGAGGCCACTTCCGGAGTACTGCGTACAGTTCTGGTTGCCCTTCTACAGGAAGGATATTAAATTTGAGAGGGTGCAGAAAAGATGTACCAGGATGTTGCTGGGACTGGAGGGCTTGAATTATAACGAAGGCTAGATAGGCTGGGACTTTTCTCACTGGAGCATAGGAGATTGAGGGGGACCTTATAAGGATTTATAAAAACATGAGGGGCACAGATAAGGTGAATAGCAAAGGTCTTTTTCCTAAGGTGGGCAGTTCAAAACTAGGGGGCATATTTTTAAGATGAGAAGTGAGAAGATTTAAAAGGGACCCGAGGGGCAACTTTTTCACAGAGGGTGGTTCGTATGTGCAATGAACTGCCAGAGAAAATGATAGATGTAGGTACAGTTGCAACATGTAAAAGATGTTTTGATAGGTACAATAGTAGGAAAGGTTTAGAGGGATATGGGCCAAATGCATGCAATTGGGACTGGTTTAGTTCTGGAAACTTGGCAGGTATGGATGAGTTGAATCAAAGGGTCTGTTTCTGTGCTGCATGTCTCTGTGACTCCAAGAAGTGATATACAATAATCCTGAGATCATGTTCCATACTCATGTCTTTCTGTGCTGTTCATACTTTCTTAGATGGCTTTCCATCATCATGCAGACCTCACTCCTTCTAATGAAATGGCCTGTATCTTCCACCTCTCTGCTAATAGTGATATTTTCCTGAATTCCTATTCCTATGTGATCGGCCCTCTATTTTAAAGTTGCTCCAAATGATCAATATACACATAAAGCAAAGGACTGAATTAAAAGTCCTTTAATCAAGGAACACCAACTATTATTTTGGGGAGAGGGGTAGAAAAATGAAAAATACTTTAATTAAACTTGAAGTTTTATTTTACAGTTCAGTTAAGATTGATTAAATAGGATAATACTTATTCCTACAAAGAATTTACAAATCATGAAATAGCCAGAGTGATCACCCACCTAACATTTTGCTGACATACGGTTCAATGTCTACATCTTGTAGGTGCTGGTAGGTATGTACATGGTAAAGGCGAAGGGTAGAGTCTAGACGGATGGAAACCCACACCCCATCTCCCACCCAAGCCAACTGTCTCACCTGGCTTTCCTTCCGTGGGTGGGCATCAAAGGATTTCTGGGAAGGCACAAGTATAAGAGCATTTTGCTGAAGTGCAATAACATTGTCAACATTAGAACAGTAAGAATTCCTACTGAGACCTCAAATACTGAAGCAGCTATAATCATTACACATTTTACACACACATGCATATGCACTTTACAAAATCATTGATTAGATTTTCCTAATTTGTTTGAAGCATTGCTCACTTATTCCTCTTCAAAGTAGAAGGAGGCTGGGTAAAAGAGTGGGACATGTCTAATGAGCTATCCACTGACAAAATCAGCTTGATCAACCATTATGCTCTGGCCTACTACTTTGGGGAGGAGGAAAGAAAAGAGAAGGCTGTAACACAGAAACAACAAGGTGTAGCTTCTGACATCAATTTGATTGATTGGAGAGTACAGAGAAGGTGTGACAAGCTGAATTGCTAAACAGAAGCATCTAGCCTGGATATCTGTATCAAGGCAGAACCAGAGCATAGGGTAAGCATTTCCCTATACATCTGTAAAAGCATCACATATACGCTAGGCTACATAGCATCGAACGTTCTTAGCATGATTTTTCTAAACTAAAATAAATAGCTCATAATCTTTTATACTTGTTAAAGTACTGAACTACTTTCAATGAAATGGCAGTATGTGGCCATTCCTATTCTAGCGTGGTTATAACAACAATGAGAAATTGCACGTATGAAATCTGGGGAAATTGTGTATATCAAATGCAGTAGGATTAGCATCATAACACGCCTTTCACCTTCTGCCTGGGAGCTGGCCTCATGCTCGATGTACTGCTCAGGCCAGTGTGTTATACAAATTGGGATCTGACAAGAAATCTAGTCTTCAGTGGAAACTGCTCATTCGTGCTTCTAGTGGACGGGATGGTATCTGTGACAGCACTAGGTGGGCCTGTCATGGGAAAGCATGGATAAAATCCCATCAATTAACCAGTGAAGAGAAATTCAGCAGCTCTGACAGCATCTGTGGTGAGAAAAGGAGAGTTAATGTTTTGAATCCAGTGACCTTTCATTAGAGGGGTCGCTGGACTTGAAGTGTTAACTTTGTGTTTCCCTCCACAGATGCTGACAGGCCTGCTGAGTTTCTCCACCAGTTTCAGTTTTTGCTTAAGATCTCCAGCATCTGCAGTTCTGCTGCAGATAGGGATGCAGTTTCCCATCTTGATGGATAACTGTCTATAAATTTTATAGAATTTAACAATCTTTTTCTTGCTTCAGAGGCCTGTAATTTGAGCCAAAGAACAGTTGACAAGGTAGCACATTTCATTTACCATTTTAAGAGCAAAGAAATTCTATCCATTTTAGGAGAATTATGAACCCTTTGCAAGTCGTTACCTCAATTTTCATGGCCTTTGGTTGTACTACATAGATTTTATTCTTGTAACCACACCATACTTTATCATGCACAACAGTCATACAGCGAATGGAGTGATGAGGCCGGCCAAAGTCCAGAAGGTGATAATTAGTTAGATCCCACTGGCCATCTAAGGAATAAACAACAGGCTGTATTAAAATACAACTAACCATTTACAACATTCGAGAAAACGAAACATCCGCAATACAGCCTTTCCCATTTTTTTAAAAACCTCAATCTTGGGATATGAGTATTACTGGAAATGGCAGCATTTCTTTCTCATCCCTAATGAAGGGGGTCATGAGCCATATTCTTAAATCACTGCAGTTCACCTGGTCTAGGGACACACCCATAAGGTGCTTTTCTCTTTGACACAACCGAGAGTCCAGAAGGCAGAAGAGTCACTTATAAATTAGGAGCAGGAACAGGCCATTCTGTCCCTCAAGCCTGCTTTGTCATTTGGTAAAAACTTGGCCTGATGTGACTGTGACCTTAATGCCACCTTCCAGTCTACCTCATATACCCTGACTCCCTTGTTAATCAAAAATCTAACTCAGCTTTAGAAATAAAAACAAAATCTCGAAACTGAAGTTGATAGCTTGGGGTGGGGAAGACAAGAAAGAGAAAGAAGGTACAGAGGGGAGAAGGAGTTTAAAACGATCACCAGGGAAAAGATACTGCGGCTGACAAACTCCAGGACCAGACGGCACGCATCTTGAGGTACTAAAAGAAGTGTCTGCAGAGATAGAAGAGGCACTGGTTATAATATTCCAAATGCTTTAGATTCTGGAAAGGTCCACCAGATTGGAAAATAGCAGGCATAATGCTTATGCTGGAACCACAACTATTTAGAATCTAGATCAATGATTTGAATGAAAGGACCTAATGTATTATAGCCAAGTTTGGGATGTAGACAGGTTAAGTGAGAGGCCAAAAATCTGGCAGAGGTGGTACAATGTGGGAAACTGAGAACATGCCCATCTTGATTAGAAACAATTATAGCATTACATTGAGCGAAACTGCAAGACTCAGTGGTACAATGGATCTAGGTGTCCTGGTACCTGAATCATAATAAGTTAGAACACAGGCACAGCAAGTGATTAAGGCACCTGATGAAAAGTTGCCTTTTATCGCAAGGCAAATGGAATACAAAAGTAGGCTCGTTTACTGCAACTGTTCAGGGCTTTAGTAACACCACAACTAGAGTACTATCTAGTTTTGGTGTTACTAATTGAAAAATAGCATAAAAGGAACTTATTACATTCGAAGCAGTTCAGTGAGGGTTCACTTGGCTCATTTCTTGGATGTAGGACCTATCTTTTGAAGAAAGGTTGAAGAGGTTAGGCCTATACCCATTTGATTTCAGGAGGATGAGAGGGGACCTTATTTAAAGCCTCAAGATCTTGAAGGGACTTTAAGGATGGATACTAGAAGGATGCTTCCTTGGGAGAGAGACAAGATCTAGGGAGGTTAGACATAAGAGATCGCCCTTTTAAGATGAAGACGAGGAAAGAAATTTTACCTCAGATGGTCCTTAATCTGTGGAATCCACTTTCTTGAAAGCAATGGAGGTTGGCTCATTGAATTTATTCAAGGCTGAGTGACATAGAATTCTAACAGACAAGGGGGTTGAGGGTTATGGCGGAACAGATGGGAAGGTGAAGTTGACACCTTAATCAAATCAGTTATGACCTTATCCTAGAGCACAGCCAACTTGAACGGCTGAAAGGCCGACTTCAGTTTCCAAGTCTTACGTTCCAACCTGAGCTGAGATACAGCATTTTATATTGCACTCCTGCTGCCACATTAGCCCCTATCTCTACCTGACATTTCTTCCACTCCTATTCTCCATCCGGCATTAACAGAACCTGCTCTTGAGTCTCAGGAGAGGTCTTTCTTCCCCCCTCTGGAACACAAGCAGACTTACTGTAGGGATTCTAACTATAGTGAATGGGGGAAATTAATGATAAGCTACATTTTAATAGCATTGCCAACAGACCGATAATGTGGTTCATCTGTTAATAGTGAACGGATAGTATAAAGTGGTGGGATAATGGCGCATCAGTTGCACAGAGGTAATGCTACCAGTAATTCAGAGGCCTGAACCATCGATCCAGAGACATGTGCTACCAGGATAATTTGGAAAATTAAACTTCAATCAATTCATTAAACTGGAATTAAATGCCCGCTTCAGTAAAATAACTACTGGATTGTTGTTAAAAAAAAAAAAGACTGATTTACTAATGCCTGTCAGGGCTGGAAATCTGCCGTCTTTACTGATGCTCTGCTAAGGAATATGAGCAGATAGGGGCTAACTTAAAAAGTAAAACCAAAAAGTTAGTAATCTGAGACTATTACCTCAGTCATGAGCTAATTGGAAAAGGATTGACACGACTGAAGAGATAAATGTGTGGCTCAAAAGATTGGTATGGGAGAAACAGATTGCAATTAATGGGATGGTCACATCAGTACTGGGGAAGGACGGAGCTGTTCCAATGGGGCAGGCTCCACTGAAATTATACTGGGACCACAGTTCTGGTGAATACCATGAGTTGGGCTTTAAACTAGATAATGGGGATGCAACTGCCTGGAAAATTAGAAAATCAAAGGTAAGGGAGAAGGTAGGATCGCAGGTTAGTGACTGGGTTGATTGTTACCAGAAAATAAAGGAATGGACAGAATTTACGAATTGTCATTTTGTATCAAGGAGCCATAAAATTGCAGGGAAATTCAATAATAGGCCAAACTTAAAGGCTTTGTGTCTAATGCACGAAGCATGCAGAATAAGGTAAAGGAAATGATGGTGCAAATTGAAATAAATTAATATGTTCTCATAGCCATGACAGAAACGTGGTTACATGGAGATCAAAACTGGGAACTTAACATTCAGGGAAATGTGACCTTTTGAAGAGACAGGAGGGACAGAAAGCTGGTGGGGTAGCACTATTAGTAAGCGATGAGAGAGACAACCTAGGCTCAGATGATGTAAAGTCCACTTGGGAGGAGGTTTAAAAAAAAAAGCAAGGGAAATAAGACATCATACAGACGCCCAAACAGTAGCCATTTTATAGCAAACAATATAAATCAATAAATAATAGGAACACGTAAAAAGAAGAGAGCAATAATTGTGGATGACCTTAATCTTCATGTTGATTGGATTAATCAAATTGGGAAGGGTAGCTACAATAATGAACTCAGAGTGCATTAGCAATAGCTTCCTACAGCAATGTGTCATGGAGCCAACCAGGGAGTAGGTTATTCTGGATCTAGTAATGGGTAACGAGGCAGGATTAATAAGTGACCTCAGAGTAAAAGATTATGCGGAACTAGTGATTATAACATGTTGGAATTTAATATGGAGTTTGAGAGTGAAAAATGTTGGTCGGAAACAACTGAGTTTAACTTAAGTGAAAGGGAATTAGAATGAAATGAGGATAAAGTGAATTGGGCGGATAGATGAGCAGGAATGACAATAAGAAGCACTGGCAAGCATTTAAACAGGTAACTCATGACTCTCAGCAAAATCACATCGCAGTAAAGAGCAAAGATTCTAAGCGAGGAATAACTGACCATAGCTAACCAAGGAAGGACTGAGCTAAAATCAAAAACATACAAGGAGATCAAAAGTCAGTAATAGCTCCAAATGCTGGGATAAACTCAGATTCCAGCAAAGGAGGACTAGAAAGATAATAAAGACAGATAAAATAAATAAACAAAGGCAAATGAAACAATAAGAGCTTGTTTAAATATACAAAAAGGAAAACAGAGGTCAAAGTGAAAATACACCCCTTCAAAAATGAATCTGGGGAGAATGTTTTGGGGAACAAAGAAATTAGTTAAATAGATATTTTGCATCAAACTTTACAGGGGAAGATACTTCGAACATCCCATTTATACTAAAAAAATACAGGAGGAGGAATTAAATACCATCACACTCACTCCAGAAAGTTTATTAGATAAACTAATGGGGCCAAATGCAGTTAAGTTCTCAGCCCTGATGGCTTGCATCCTAGGTTCCTAAAAGTGATAGCTACAGAAATGGTGGAAGCATTGGTTTTAATTTTTGAAAAGTCGTTGAATTCTGGAGAAGTACGAGAGGATTGGAAAACTGCTCATGTGACAGCCCTATTCAAAAAGGGAGGGAGGCAAAAAAGCAGGTTAGCCTAACATCTGTTGTTAAAAAGGTATTGGAATCACTTATAAAGGAAGCAATAGCAGAACATCTGAAAAATCATAATCTAATCTAGTCAGCATGGCTTCACAAAAAGGAAATTGTGTCTATTAAAGTTTTTGAGGAAGTTTCAACTAGACTGGATAGAAGGGAACCATTAGATATACTGTATTCGTACTTCCAGAAGACATTCAAGAAGTACCACAAAAGGTTACGTTACAAAATAAGTACCTACGGTGTTGGACGCAGTATACTGGCATGGATAGAGATCTGGCTAATGGGCAGGAAACATCAAATGGGGATAAGAAGTCCGTTTTAAAAATGAAAAGGACTACAGATCCTGCAAATCAGTAACAAAAACAGAAATTGCTGGAAAACTCAGCAAGCCTGGCAGCATCTGTGGACAGAAATCAGAGTTAAAGCTTCAGGTCCAGTGATCCTCCTTCAGAACTGGGGTTCATTTTCAGGTTGGCAACCTGTAATCGGTAGGGTCCACAGGGATGCTTCTGGGACCACAAGTGTTTACAATATATATTAATGACTTGGAAGAAGGAAACGAATATACTGTAGCCACATTTGCAGATGACATAAAAATACGTGGAAAGGCAAGTTGTGAGAGGGATACACAGTTTACAGAGAGATAATGATAAGTTCACTAAGTGGGCAAAAAGCTGGCGATTGGAGTATAATGTGGGCAAATGTGAACTTTCTCATTTTGCAAGAGAGAACAAACAAACTATTATTTAAATGAAGAAAAACTGCAGAAAGCTGCAACACAATGGGACTTTGGGTCCTTGGGCACGAGAAAGCAGAAAATCAGGAATGCTAATGGAATGTTTGCCCTTATCGCAAAGGCATTGAAGTATAAGAGTAGGGGAGTCTTACTGCAATTGTATCAGGTGCTGGTGAGACATCTGGAGTACTGAGTATGATTTTCGGCCCTTTATTTAAGGAAAGATATAATTTCATTGGAGGTAGCTCAGAGAAGTGTCACTCAGATGATCCTTGGTATGGAGGGATTGTCTTATGAGCAAAGGCTAAACAGGTTGAGACTCTATTCATTGAAGTTTAGAAGAATGAGAAGTGAAGTGATCTCATTGACACACACAGGATTCTTAAGGGGCTTGACAGGTTAAATGCTGAGAGGATCTTTGCCCTCATGGGAGAGTCGAGGACCAGAGGGCATCATCTCAGTCTTTATTCTGAGACAAAGAGTGATTTCTTCTCTTGGAGGGTTGAGAATCTTTGGAACTCGTTGCCATAGTGTGCAGAGGGGGCAAGGTCCTTGTGTATATTTGGGGCTGAGATAAACAGATTTGTGATTAATTGGGGGATCAAGGGTTACAAGAAAAATGCAGGTAAGTGGGCATGAGGAATGTCAGAACAACCTTGATCATATTGAATGGCGGAGCAGGCTCGAGGGGCTGAATGACCTATTTCTGTTCATACATCTTACGGTCTTTGGTTACGATCTTACCCGGTCGGGCCTTTAACACTGTGCAACAAACCTAACATACAAGAAAATATTTCAAATAAATGCTCTAAGTAGGGTGGGGTACACATTCGTCTTTAGAAACCTTTCTTGCAGTTACTCTTTTAGGGGTCAAGATACCACAGTGCTTTTACTGGGCTCTTAATCCAGAGATCTGCATACATGACTCAGGAGTCAGAAGGTCAAATCTGACTACAGAAGCTTGGGAATTTAAATTCAATTAAATAAATCTAGAATTTGAAGTTAGTCTCAGTAATGATGAACATGAATAATCTGGATTGTTCTAAAAACGTACCAGATTCATTAATGTTCATTGGGGAAGGAAGTCTCGTCTTCTTGATTAGCTTATATGTAACTCCAGGCCCACATGAAGGCCTTAGCACTGCCTTGAAATGGCCTAACCAGCCATACAGCTCTACTCATAAAGGCTCATTACCAAGTGAAATTAGGGATGCTCAATAAGTGCTTAATTTATGAGTGATATTCACTTCATATGAGCAAGTTTTTAAATAATGTAGTCATCGCCATTGTAAAAACTCTAATAGGAGCACATGTTTTCAATGCTGATATAGGGAAATTAGTTCTGGGTTTCAAACTAGGTTATTAATTATAAAAGCATAAAGACATTACAATCATGGTCTAAGGACATTAAAGCATTACTCTGTGATAACCACATATAGCTTTATCTTTAAGTAGAAAAATAATGCATCTAACGAATTGCTCCAATTTCACCAATTGCTCACAAAAAGTGAGACCTCATGCAGTTCAATAAGAAAGTGAGCAAATATCCATATTTCTCAATGTTTCCAGGTTTTGTTTGTATGTTTATGGACATGGCATTAAAAATTTGTATCTAAACCCAGCTATCCTGTGAGGAATTTCTATGTTTGTGCTTATAATGGAAATTTCCTTATGCAAACAATGTCACCCTTCAACTATGTCCTTCAGCCAGTAACAGTACTGCACATAAGGAGTTAAGACCAACTACAGTGTTCAGGTAAACTGGTGATCATGGCTGGGAATAAACATGCACAGCATAAAGTCACAATGCAATTGTATTTTCAGACTTTTTTAATACATTACAATGACTTATTCCTATGCCCACAGTTATAATGAAAACCGCCCATGTCAGTTGTCACATTGCAATTACACATCCAGAGATTAAGAGCACAGAATTGGTTTAATCTTGGAACGTTTCTAGGAACACTCTTCTTTACAAATTAGGTATAGTGTAATGAAACTTTAAAAGTAACAACGATAAATGCACTTAAAATTACACTAAACATAAGTTTGGGGAGGGGGATGGTGAATTTTCAACCTTAGAATGTATAGCTTGGCACTATCACTTTCTCATTTAGAACACAGAAATGCAATTAATGTTATAGTGACTTACCTACTCCTCTATGAAAGATTGCCAAAGTGCCATCAGCCAATGCTACTAATACTCTTCCTTTTAAATGTCTGGCAAAAGAAAAACTAGGCGTAACTGAAAGTCTTGTTGCTAACATACAAGGATCACCCTTCAAGCCGTAACTTTCCCATACTACACTCCAAAAAGCCTAAAGATGAACAAAAGAACTGGACCTAGTTCTTATACACTTCTGTAAATATTTATTTAGGCATACACATTCCAAATACACCTACTTCACCAACAACAGTTTGAGAAACAAAAACAGGAATTGCTGGAAATGCTCAGCAGGCCTGGCAACATCTGGGAAGAGAAATCAGAGTTAATATTTCAGGTTGAGTGACCCTTCCTCAGAACTGATGATAGTTAGGAAAAGGTTGGTTTATATGCAAAAGATCAGGTGGGGGGTGGGGATAAGGAGTAAACAATAAATGGGGATAGAGCCCAAAGACAGAGAAGAATGGTTGGACAAGGGAGTGGGTACCAATCTGGCTAGGAGAGTGAATAGCTGTTAATGGACACTGTTAGTGGCAGTGTGTAATGGCAGACTATGTGATAACAAGGCCTGGTGTGTAGTTTGGGGGCTAGGACATGGGAGAGTTCAGGCTCTAAAATTATTGAACTCAACATAGAGTCCGGAGGGCTGCAAAGTCCCCAAGTGGAAAATGAGGTGTTGTTCTTCCAGCTTGTGCTGAGCTTCACTGCAAGCCTGAGACGGTGATGTTGGCCAGGGAACAGGGTGGTGTGTTGAAGTGGCAGGCAACTCAAAGCTCAGGGTCTGTTTTGTGGGCAGAACGTAGTTGTTCTGCGAAGCTGTCACCCAGTCTACGCTTCGTTTTCCCAACTTACAGGAGACCACATTGTGAGCAGCAAATGCATTGGACCAGATTGTGTGAAGTGCAGGTAAAGCGCTGCTTCAGCTGGAAGGTAGTTTGGGCACTGGGACTCTGAAGAGGTAGGAGGTAAATGGGCAGGTGTTATACCTTCTGCTATTGCAGCCGAAGATGCTGTGGGGGATGTTGGGCATGAAGGAAGAGTGGACCAGAGTATCCCTGAGGAAACAGTTCCTGCTGAAGGCAGACGAGGGAGGGCAGGGAAGTGCATCTCTGGTGGGGGCATCTCACTGGAGGTGATGGAAATGGCAGTTGGTGGTCTTCTGGATGTAGATGCGGGTGAGATGGTAGATAAAGACAAGGAGAACCCCATCACCATTGCAAGAGGGAAGAGAGGTGTAGGGGTGGGAATGCATGAGATTTGGTCAGACCCGGTTGAGGGCCCTGTCAACAACTGTGCTGGGGAATCCTGACTTGAGGAAGAAGCGGACATTTCAGAGGCTCCCTTCCTAAAGTTGGCCTCATCGGAACATATGTGACAGAGAAGGAGAAATCAGGAGAATGGAATAAAGTCTTTACAGGAAGCAGAGTGCAAGGATGTATAGTCCAGGTAGCTACGGGAGTTGGTGGGTTTACAGCAGATATCAGTGGCCAGTCTATCGCTAGAAACAACAGTTTCAGGTTGTTTCTTTTTATGAGGACATTAGTAAATGCTTGTTCACGTCCACTACATGCATATAATTTAAAAAACTAATATTCTGTATGATGTAGCTTTCCTCAATTCCAGGATGTTGCCGACTAGTGTTAAGATGCTTTGTATGTGTACATGGAAGGATGATGACCCAACATCCACTGGGAAATTCAAAGAGAACCAGATAGCAACAAGCCATGGTCACTGGTTTTCGTTTCGGTATTTACTTCCTCAGTATTCTTAGAAAATAATATCTCAAAAAAAAAGCATCAATTCTGTGTGGTTACTTATAGACTGTATATACTATATAGCAATTTGATAAACAAATTAATCAGACCAACCAATTTTGTAATTACACGGACACATCAAATTCAGAACTTCAAGGAACTGCATTTAATATTTGATCACATTAGAGTGTTAACAGAAAATAGATTCTTGAAAACTTATTTTTCATTCTTATTAACTTTTAGGAAGTTAATTGGATGAAGCTAAAAAGATTCAATAATCATTCTCGGTGAAAGTTATTATCATAACTCTTAGTTATTAATTGATAAAGAGACAATACATCTGCCAGTCAGGATAGACACCCAGCCCTGGTTCTGGCTCGAGAAAGGAAGGAGAATGACCTCAGAGTTAAACCTAAAGGCAGAAGTCACACAATGCCAGGTAATAGTCCAACAGTTTTATTTGAAATCACAAGCTTTTGGAGCATAGCCCCTTCATCAGGTGAACCTAAAGACAACATTTGAAATTCAAAGCTGGAAACGTGGTGATTGGCCAGATTTCTGACACCAGATCACGCTGGTGTTTGCAGGTTAATGTGAAGTCAGGCTAATCTCAGTTTGGGAATCCAGAAATGATCTTCTCCCCAAGTTCTGAGAACTTTATTGGTTAAAATATTTCAATGGCACCAGTTGAGGTTGAAACAGTCTTTTAAGCATATTTAACATAACTTCTTTGTTTTTGTACACTATGCCCCTATTAATGACATCAAGATGAGTTAAATATCAGAATGCTGCCAAGGAAACAGATGGAGTTGACAGCCAGGGAATGGAGTTTGGACTGGGGACCAAAAACAGTGGTTTCCATCTTTTCAATATCTAATTGGAAGGGATTTCTGCTCATCCAATATTGTATATCAGATAGGTCATCTGATAATTCAGCAACAAAAAAAAAAGGAGTCAAGATAAGAAAATGAGTAGAGCAGTGCGACATCAGCATATGTGTAAAAATTAACCCTGTACCTTAAGAGAATGTCACAAAGGAGCAGCATGTGAATTAGAAATAGGAAGGGTCAAGGTTAAATACTTGCAAACAGAGGAAACTATGTGCTAGTAGGAAGTGAAGTCATTGCAAATGATTTCCCGGCTTACATTAAACCAAGATGAATGGAACTAGGTGACGGCACTCCCACCCAGTTGGACAACTGTGGTGAGGTGCGGAAAGTGTGGTCAACAGTCTCAAATCCTGGAGACAGGTTAAGAACGAAATAAAGGAGAACTTGTGTTTTTCACAGTCACATAAGATGTCATTTATGGATACCTTTTTGGTATGGTGGCAGGAGCAGAAGCCCAATTGGAAGAATTAAACATGGAAATACAGGAATGGATTTGGGAAGTGATAACATGTTCAAGGAATCTGGAGAGAAAAGGGAGTTTAGAATGACAAATAAATAATGTTGGAAATGTTTGGCAGGTCATGCAGCACCTATGGAATGAAAACAGTTACAGATAAGGACATGAAAGATATCAGTTCTGAGAAAAGGTCATCGACCTGAAACACAAACTTCTACACACAGGTATTGCCTGACCTACTGAGTATTTCCAGCATTTTGTGTTTTGGTTACAAATTTCCAACATATTTCACGTTTGAAAGGGTGCTTGGAGAAGCATTGGCGTAGTGCTGAGGTCATTGTACGAGGAAACCAGAACCTCAGGCTAATATTTTGGGGTCATGGGTTCAAATCTCATTATCCATTAATCACCCTTGATTTTTGTAAAAACCCATCTGAATAGCTGATGCAGTTATCCTTTCCTTGTCAGGTCTACAGGTGATTCTTAAACCACAGCAACATGGTAGACTCTTAACGGTCTTCTGAAATGGCCTGAGCAAGCCACTCAGTTCAAGGGACAATTACAGACAGACAACTGGCCCATGTCCCATGATTGAATATGGAAAAAAAACCAAGCTTGGAGATGGGATTGTGCAGTTCAAAGGGCATTTTTGAGGAGAGGCATGGTGACAGTAATTTGAAAGCAAGTGGGCCAACAACTAAAGAGACAGAACTCTTTACAATATCCGATTAACATGCGGTCAGCTGGGCAAGTTGAGTGATCAGATGTTTCAGTGGCAATAGAACTGGGGAACAGGAGGTGGGTACCATGGACAAGATCAAGTCAGACAGGGGAAGAAAGCCGATTGAAGAGAGGCTACAGAAGGTTGCAAGTTCAGGGCTAAGACAGGGTGAAGCATTAAAAGGTTGGGTCGGGTGGGCTATTTGAAGAAAGGAATAGTGCAGAAGCTGCTGATTGGATTGCCTTAATTGCACTGGTGTGCTTGATGCTGGAGGTACGGATGGAGGGGACAGGGAAGAAATATTTAAGAAGATGGCTTACAGTGAAGTAAAATCTGGAGTTATCTTTGCTGTACAGGTTGATCATTGAACTGTTAAAACAGTTGTCCACAAATCCTATAAAGTCCCCATTCCTTAAATTTAAGTAAGTGTAGATGAGGGTCACACTAGTAGAAATGGCCAGGATGAAAGAAAACGATAGTTTCACTAGGGACAAGGGAGATTGAAGGTGGAGGGGAGGGTGCAGTTGAGGAAATCAGCAGCTGCAGAAATTTGAATGGAGGGCCAAAAATCAAACGCTAGATACCTGGGATTTTAAAAATTTATTTGTAAGCAAATAAGTGATTAAAGCATAGTTGTTGATGTTGTTAAAGTATAACCAGCATACCTGATAACTGATAAATTAAATATGTCAAAAATTTTACAACTTACACAATACTAAGAATAGAGTCTTTCAGTTTAATGGAGTGAAGACACTTCTTCCACTGAGCTACTGAGGAATGGACATACAAACTGCAAGAAAACAAACAAGAAATTCACTGTCTCTTCATAATTCTTTTTGAAAAGATTTGCAGGAAGGGTCAAGGGGAATTGGTCCTTTAATTTAAATAGCTCCAGTGAGTGGCAGCATCAGTGGGAACACACCTCGGGTATCTGATCAGAGAAGCCACAAATTGAGGTAGGGTTCATTCCACTCCCTTGCCCAGAAAGCAACAATCTATGCTCCTTCTTCAAGGATCCTGGCTATTAGGCAGCCCTGAACCCTCCTCAAGGTGAGCTCCAATTTAACCCATTGTCTTGGTCTGCCTGAGGTACAGTGGCCAGGATCGTGAGTACTGTGAGCCTGCAAATCCTCAGTCTAATCCCTTCTATGTCAGTAAAGATGGAGGCTTCATTCTATTAATGGGAATTCCATTTGGAAGGATTACATCCAGCAAATTTGGGTCCTCACCTAATATATAATCCTTGCTGAAACTTCCAAAGCACAGTTAGCCCATCACTGCAGAAGAATGAACAACACTCATTTTGCTTCTCTTTATAACCATGCCGCAACTTTATGAACACCCACATCTGAAATGCAGGTGAATGCTTTTCTCTTTGCAATCTTTATATATAAATTTTTGAATGAATGACAGATTAAAAACAAAGAAATTCTGTATCAGAAGTCAAAGTCCCTCCCAATTTTAGGGTCTAGATTTACCAGAAATGATGTTCAGGAACAGAACAAGCCACTGCAAAGTTCTGCTTCCCCTTTTTCTGCCAAGTATATAACCATACCAGGTTAGCACCTCCTATTGCACCAATATTTTCAAAAACTGATTGGAGGGAAATAACAATTTGTACAGAATATAAGATGGTTTTGAGCCTTGGTTATCACCCACAGAACAACTTTAAGTTTGTCTATGTTATTTCCATATGGGGTCTTTAAAACCATTTTTCCTTCCATCAGTTTCAGCTGGATTCAAACTGAGGACATGACACTAAAAGACTGATTATGTCATCTCAACTGCCTTAAAGTGAAGGTATAATGTATATCTGCATTAACAGTGTCACCTTAATGCCATAACTCACCAACCACTCTGTGCGCCAAGCCACATTGTTGGCAGAACGCTACTCATCTTCTCTGCTTCCTCACGCATCAGATCTTGATCCAATGGAAGTGCAGATACACCATCTTTATACAGGTCGGATTCCCTGCAGGAAAAGGCAAAAGATGGCAACCAGGCTCAGAATCAAGAATACTCTTGTAACACTACTCTCCACATAGTTTTTATATGGCATTAGATATTCCTGACGCTGCTGTTGCTTGTCACTTTCACTTGATTCCAATGAAAGCAAAACTGTCCCTGCAGTTCCAATGCCTCAACCATGTCCAAGAATTGGAGCCTCTTGCATGAGAAACTACAGGATCAGAACTGCATCCCATTCTTGAATCTCCATTAAAAATAGGGGTCAGGAGTAGGCCAATTGTTATTTAATAAAATCATGGCTGGTCTGATTATTTCACATTCCTAATTCCAACAACCTTTCAAGCTGTTCTGAGGAAGAATCAACGGACCCAAAGTATTAACTCTGATTTTTCCTTCACAGATGCTGCCAGATCTACTGAGCTTTGCCAGCAACTTCTGTTTTTGTTCCTGATTTACAGCATGTGCAGTTCTTTCAGTTTTTAACCTTTCATCCTCTTGCTTACAAAGAATCTATGTCTTAAAACATTCAAAGACTCTGCTTCCAATGTCTTTTGAGCATTAGATTTCCAAAAATACTCAACCTTATGAGAAAAAAATTCTCCTCACCCACGTCTTAGATGAGTGACCCCTTATTTTTAAACAGTGACTCCCAGTTCTAGATTCTAAAGTAAGAGGACAATCACGTTGTTTCAACATCCACTCTGTCAACAAATCTCACAATTTTACATATTCCAACGAAATCACCTCCAGCTGTTCTAAATTCCAGCAGATACAAGCCTTAGCCAGTCCAACTTAAAACACCAACCCATTCCAGGTATTAGCCTAGTAAACTTTCTCTGAACTGCTTCCAAAGCATTATCATTCTTCCTGAAATTAGGAGACCAATACTATGAACAGTACTCTAGATGTAATGTCACCAATGCCGTGTACAACTGAAACATAACCTCCCTACTTTGTATTCAATTTCCTTCACAATAAACAATAATTCTATTAGCTTTCTTAATTACTTGAGTGTACCTACATGCACTGAAATATTAGGAATCATTATAAAAAGATGCAATACATAGCAAAAAATAACCAAGATGTGGAAGACATATTCAAATGACTAAATTACAGGCCAAATGTGGTCCCCTAATTAGACATTCTGATGAAGAAAGATGGGAGGACACTCACATGAGCATAAGTTCCAGTTTGTATAGATTACTGTAAATCCTGAACCCTTGCACTTGGAGTTTATTCGCATTTTGTCAGTTATTTAATTTGGTGTCATGAGTTGCATAAAGAACATGGTTTATTTTGAAACTATAACAAAAGTGAAATAGTCCAAAATGGAACAGAATTTCTTTCTTTCAGAATCACAGAAAGTGGCTATTCAGCCATCGGTGTCTGTGCAGTTGAATAAATGAGCCATTCATTCTAATCCCATTTGCCAGCACCAGGTCCAAACCTTGCAGATTACAGTGCTTTAATCATAGAATCCCTAGAGTGGTGAAGGAGGCCATTCAGCCCATCAAGTCCACACCAACCCATGGAAGAGTATACCACCCAGACCCAGCCACTTACCCTATCCCAATAACCCCACATTAACCATGGCTAACTCACCTAACCATCCCTGGAGATTACAGGACAATTTAGCATGGCCAATCCACCTAACCTGCACATCTTTGGACTGTGGGGCGAAACCAGAGCACCCAGAGGAAACCCACGCAGATAAGGGGAGAACACGCAAACTCCACCCATGGGCGGAATCAAACCTAGGTCCCTGGCGCTATGAGGCAGCAGTGCTAACCACTGAGCCACCATGCTGCCAAATGATTTTTTTTTTGAGTGAGGGTGGAGGGGCAAGGCTTCATCGGCAAGGAAAGATCAGTAGTATATTTCTAGTGGCAAGTACACTCATTTTATATTAAAAATATCATTTTTGCATGATACAACATTTTTGACGAACAGGTCATATTTCTTCTGCTCCATTTGTGGAGCAGAATAAATATAACTACAAATGCAAATAGAACTGGACTTGACCACTGAGAGATTTGCAGACTGATCCCCATTGGCCAACACTCTGTCGTGATGCAGACACAAACGGAATTTCCCAAAGCAGTTGTATGTGTAAGAGAGGTCACTGGCAAAGGGGTCAAAATAACCTTTTCTTTCAAGGACTACTTTTTTGATTTTTCTTTTTTATTTCACTAATTTCTTTGTTAAATGATGCAGTCATGTTGTGACGTCTCTTTCTGTATTTGGGTTGAATTCTTTTCAAGTCATCTTTCTTTAAATAGCTCAAATACCAAATAGTGCATCATACATTTACATGTTAAATCTTCTAACTTGGAATCCACAAATACAATTTTTATTAATTTATGATAAATAAATCTCCCACACTGTTTTATAAATTAAAATTCTAAACAGTAGACACATGGTAACTTCTTGAGAATTTTAAAATATAAAGTTCAGGATTAAGATCAGGTTTTTAACTCCCAGCCCAAAAGGAAAATGAGACAAAATTGATTGCTGTCGTAAAACAGGTTGTACGTGAAAACGGTAAATGTAGTGTGGTTATATCCAAGTCCTGCATATTTGATGCACAGTTTTCAAGCTCACCCATGTTTAAGTAGCAAAACTAGAAGAGAAAGCAAACCACGCAATCACTCACATCTCAATAGCACTATGGACCATCAAATGGAATGATACCAGGGTGGGCAATAAAGCTCCAACCCTACCCACCCTGGATGACACCTAGACCCAGCAGCAATACCACTCTCCACACAGCGTTACACCCCTCCCCCTATTAAGCCTACAGATTTCAAGAAACAATCCATAAATAATTTGCAAGATAGTCTGGTAAGCACTTTTATTTATAAATATGATCAAAACCTTTCACCGTGAATTTCACAAACTTCACTAAGCAATTGCCTCCTCCTGGCTCCATGAGCAGCTGAAACTCAGGCCCATTACTCCAGTGACCAGCCAAACCTCATGCCAAGTACCATCACTCCTCACCTGACCAGATGAAACTCAAGCCCAGCCCCAGTGGGCACTCACCTCGATCAAGCACGCTGAGTGACTGCTCCAACCTAGTCAAAGCCCCCTTCTGATGCCACAGGACCAGCCCTGGGAGAGATTTGCTCACAGGTTCCTTCCCTTGTGCTCTTATTACTCCTTTAGTCAGAGATTCCATCTCCTGAGGAGTAACAAGAGCAGGAAAGAAGGATAAATACAGAAATTGTTGGAGAAACTCAGCAGGTCTGGCAGCATCTTTGTGAAGAAAGCAGAGTTAATGTTTCAAGTCCAATGACTCTTGAGTTCTGATGAACAGTCACTGGTCTCAAAATGTTAAACTCTGCTTTCTTTCCACAGATGCTGCCAGACCCGCTGAGTTTTGCCAGTAGTTTCTGTTGCTGTTTCAGATCTCTGGCATCCGCAGTTCTTTGTTTTATTGCAGGAAAGAGGGAGTTGGTGATTGATGGAGCTGGAATGCCCTGCATGGGAGAGACAAAATCTTTGATTGTAGGATTAGTGCCTCACAGGCTCTGTCTCTTCCAGATAGGACAGAGGGACACATTTCTGGCTGTTCACTCTTATGTTGGAATTTCTCCAGGCTTTTTGAAGGGTACTTGGAAATGAATGAGTGTATTTTGAACACTGCCTTGGAAACCAAGGTACCGCGTCACTCAGATTCCCACACATAACACATTCCCATCCTAACTTTGAGCATGTGGCAAAGGGAGATATATTTAATACAGGAATTTACATTCTATGCAGCTTGCAACATAGGTCAAAAAAATTTAGTTTGTGCTACAACCTCAGTTAGAATTTTACATACCGTCTATTAAACATCTGTGTGCTGTCTGTTGAGCTCTGCACTCCCAGTGGGTCTGTAAAAACATGTTCTGTGTAAGCTCCAGACTGACTGACATCAGTTAAATCATCATCTGACAGCGGAAGATTTAGATTGGATTCTGTTGCTTCCGTGGCCTCTTCTGCTGCTGGCAAACTTCCATCAGGGCTGATGCTCACAGTACCAATTTCCCCTGCAACAAGGTACAGCTATTATGGCAGAGATCTTTTAAACAGATCACACAGCAGACAGACTTAGTTGTCCCTTGCCACTGAACTGTCTGTCCTACATAGTAGCAGTAGGCCACTTGCCTGAACATATGAGAATTTATAAGCATCCAACCAAATCACTTAAGTTGATTTCAAAGATAGCCACGCTGTATCTCTGCTTTTTTTCAAACTTACATTTAACATCACATGAATACATTCAGCAAGCTCCAAATGGAAAGGAATTTAAGATTTAAACACTATACGGATTTGCAGCTTCACTGCAGCAGCCCATTTATTACCATAATAATGATGATGGGCTTTGACAGGTTCCAGCTGAAGACTGTGTTTACTTTTATATTTCTTGGGTTTATTATGAATCTGGTCTTAAGTATTATTTATTTTCCACCTTTTATATTCTCACCAATTTTCAAGAGAACTGAAGATCATCAGTGTGATCAAACTGATTATTATTATTACTTAAAAGGACACAGCTAACATACAATAACTTCTTTTCAGAGAATTCTTATCAAATTTGTTAGCTGTAGTTCATTTGATAGCATTTTTACCTCAAATCAGTATAAAAATGTAAATATAGAACATGGTTAAGCCACAAAACATAAACAATGGATACCTGGCTCTCCTTCAGGGATGGGCGAGGAACTGGCAGGAGTGCGCGGGGTCGGAGGTATGGCGCCACCTTCTGTAGTGCATCCAACAACTGTGATCCCACCCAACAGATTGTCACTTCCCGCTGAACTGTTACTGGCAACACTTCCTGCTAAAGAGGCACATTCCGCCTGGCTTCCCTCAGCATCCATTGGAATCTCTTCTCCAGCAGGATAGTCTGTCTCTCGAGCACCTATAAATTATTAATAGGATGATTTATTATAAATAATTACCTAACTGATAATGATACCCAACATTACTGATTAAAAACAAACATGTCTCATAGCTGCATAGTGCTTTACGAAAAATTTGAACAATTCAGTCTGCCACGGCTCAGTCAGCAGCATTCTCATCAAAAAACTCAACTAGGTTCAAGGCTAACACCAAAGACATGAGCACATTGACTAGGTGAGTACTTCCAGTGCAGTACTGAGGGAGTGTTGTACTGACAGAGGGTCATGCTTTGAACAAGGTATCTATTCATGATCTCAGGTTGATATGAATATATGATTCCACTATCTAAGAGGAGTTGGGAGCTCTCCGTGACCTGGATTAATACTTATTTCTCAACAAACTTCATCCAAACAGATTATCTGGTCATTTATCTCATCTATATTGGTGTAACCATGCTCTGTCAAATTACCTGACATTCTTTCTCTGTGACAACAGCAATTACAGAAAATTATTCAATACTTTGAGATGCCTTGAGGTTGTGAATGATGCTAGAAATAGGACTAGAAATGTAAATGATTTATTTTTGACATATCTGGCCTGATTTTAACTCTGTCTAAATGAATAGAATTTGAGTGCATTGAAGTCAGGCCTCCTATAGCAGTAAGCATAAGCAGGGAACTAAGGGATGTTATTTATGGCACTGTGATAAATTTGACACCATTTAAGTTCTGCCAGAGTCTCAGATCCTTGTCTCATTACAACATTGATCCAAACATGGATGAAGAACTAAGCGTCAGAGGTATTGTGAGAATTAAATAAAGACTGCATTTAACCAATGACAGCATCAAGGGCCCCAGCAAAACCGGAATCAACAGGAATCTAAGAGGGAAACACTCCTCTGGGTGGAGATATGCCTGGAGCGAAGGAAGACAGTTGTAATTGTTAAGGGTCAATCATGTCAGCCCCAAGATGCCAGTGCAGACGCTATTCAAGGTAAAGTCCCCGGCCAATCTTCAACTGCTCGATCAATGACCCTCCATCCATCATCTGGTCAGAGGTTGGAGTGTTCACTGATGATTGCACAATTCGCAACTCCTGAAATACTGAAGCAGTTCATGACCAAACGCAACAAGATCTCAACAACATCCATGCTTGGGATACTAAGTGACAAATAACATTTGCACCATCTAAGTAATAGACAATCTTCAATAACAGAGAATCTAATCTTCATCCCTTAATGTTCAATAGCATTACCATCGCTAATTCTCCCATTATCAACATCCTGAGTTTACCATTGACCAGAAACTGAACCAGGTTAGCCATATAAATCAGTGGGAACTAATAAAAACAACTGAACTTCAGAGAATACCCCTTTTTTTTTAAATATATAGAATCCCCACAGTCTGGAAACAGGCCATGCAGCCCAACAAGTCCACAGCAACCCTCCAAACAGCATCCCACCCAGACCCATTCCCCTACCCTATCCCACTAACTCTGCATTTCCCATGTCTAGCACATCTAAACCTACACATCCCTGAACACTGGGTAATTTAGCATGTCCAATCCACTTAACTTGCACATCTTTAGTTTGTGGGAGGAAACTGGAATACCCGGAGGAACCTGGAACACCCAGTGGAAACCCACGCAGACACGGGGAGAACGTGCAAACTTCACACAGGCTATCGCCCGAGGCCGGAATTGAACCCAGGTCCCTGCGCTGTGAGGCAGCAGTGCTAACCATTCAGCCACCATACCATCCATCTTATAATTCAGCAAACATTCTATCAGTATCCCTTAATTGAGGGAGGAGAGGAAAACAGCAGCACCAGGAAGAGACAAGAACTTGAGATTAAAGTACAAGTACAATTCCAAATTTAAACCAACAAAACCTCCGTTACAACTTTAACATTCAAAACCATAGCTAACTGACCACTATAGAATCCTGAAACATTTTAATCAAACAAAAATAAAATGAGTTTTCCACAGGTCAAGTCTGTTTAAAAAGTCAACCAACCAACTCTTGGTGTGTGCAACTGGAACTCACCTGGTACACTGGCAAGGCACAGGATGTGAGAGTTGCAGACAAAGAAACTGTCCAAGATCTTTGCAGGCTGGTTGGCATCTATAACCACAACCTTGCCAGTAGAATGTGTGCTTGTACAAATCCAAACTAGGCTGCACAGTTCCTCCTGATGCTTCAGCTCCTTCTCTTGCTCCTGCACAATACAGATTTTAAAAAACAGATTTACTCCAACTCACAACCTACTGTATTTCTTGTAATGAACTACTGCACTTTAATTTGTAAATATTACATTAAAACCTAAATCACTGGGTCCAAAACAGGTTTTCATTTGAAGCAGTAGTTCAACTGGAAAAACAATGTGCGTTTATACATGTGGTTCTGATACAGCAACATTTTCATCTGGAGATCAGATTTGGTAATGAGAAGCACACGCATAGATAAGTAGCTTGTCCTCCAAAGAGAGGGGGAGGGAGGGAGAAAGACTTCAAAAAAGTCGCCTCGGTATACGTGGTACTGTACAGCCTTTCCCCAAGGACACAACACTGCCTCCTTCCTTGTCTACTCCCTCTCTCTGCACACCCTTCATACAGCCACTTTGCAATATATTTCCAGTTAATCAATAGGACAGATATCACATGAATACATGAACATACAAAGTCAGAGAAGGCTATTCAGTCCCTTTGAACCTGATCCACCATTCAAGAGAATCATTGGTTGATCTGAATGTAGCCTCAAACCCAGTTTCTTACCTACCCCCAATACACTTCAACTCCCTCATTAGTCAAAAGTTTATCTACCTCTACCTTAAAATTTTTCTATGACTCTGCTCCCACTGCTGTTCAGTGAAGAAAGTTCCAAGGACTCTGAACACTCAGAACAATATATTCTCCACTGTACATTCTTAAATAGGTGGCCCCTTATTTTTAAGCTGCCTCCCCTAGTCCTGGTCCCTCCCATCTGGTGAAGCATTCTTTCAGGGTTAACCCTGTCAAATCTCCTTCAGACCCCAGTTCTGTTTATGTTGGTTCTCCATAGGAGCAATTTACCTAGCGACACACTCTGGATTCTCTCTGGAGACCTGCACATTTTTCCTTTTCAGATCAGAATGCAATTCGAACTTTTGAGCCCTGATTGAATTTGCTTCCACCATTTTGCCAAGCTGTGCATTCTAGATCATAAACACTCGGTGGGCGAAGAGCTTTTTCCTCACGTGTCCATTGCCTCCTTTAGCAATTATTTTAAACCTGTACCATCTTTTTCTCAATCTCCAGCAACGTGAAAAGTTTCACCCCATCTTCTCTGTTCAGACCCCTCATGAGTTTGACCAACTCTGGGACACACATTTAAAATGATTCATCATGCAAATAACTTGAAAAAAAAACTAAATAATCACAGTTGGAATATTTAAACAATAACATACGTACTTTAAGCTCCAGTTCCAACCGGTCCAAGCTGCTCTGAGATCCTCTCTGCTGCTTATTACCTTCTGGTTCAGAACCGGACAGATCATTGTAAAACACACTAGCACCAAAGATCGAGCCACCATCACGCGTCTTTCCTCCTGACAAGTTAACACCAACTGCACACCATAACTAGGAAACATAACCATAACAAGATCATGAGTCAAGATCACTTAATAGGGAGAACACCTACTTGGAGGGCTGAGCCCCTGATTGCAGTGTATCAACACTCAAGAAGCAATGTCAACCACAGACCATTTTGTGCTGCAAATAGTACATAATTCTGGATAGGTAAAGCACTACCGGGAAGCTCTCTGATCCGTGAAAACTACTACAGGATCACTCTGGATTGCAAAGTTAACCCCTGGCTTCCTTTAGTTTATCTTCTATCTTCCTTCATGTCCTAAAAATGAATTAGGAGGAGCAGCCATTTGGCCCATAATCTAATGAAATCAGGCTGACCCAAATGTGGCCTCAACTCCATTTTTCTTTCTCCCTTGCACCCATTGACTCCTTATCAATGAAGACTCTAACTAAACTAGACATAAAATTATTCCAAGTCCCACCCTCTGCTACTCTCTGGAGAAGAGACCATTCACTTTCCAAAAGAAGAAAATTTCTTCTAATCTTGTTTTAAATGGCAGACCCCTTATTTTTAAACTGTGTCCCCTACTTCTAGTCTCTACCGTAAGGGGAATCATCCTCTCTGCATCCAATCTGTTAATTTCCCTCAGGACCTTAAGTGTTTCAATAACATCACTGTTCATTCTTCCAAACTTTAATGGATAAGAGGCCCAACCTTTCTTTTTATACAATAACTTCTGTCCCAGGAAGCAATCCAGTCAACCTCCTGAATTGCTTCTCATGTTATTATATCCTTTCTCAAGTAAGGAGGCAAAAACTGTATACCAAGTGTTGATGCAGCTACTGGTTACACCCAAGTGAACAAGTCTTTGCCAGCTATTGGTATTGAACTGTTGACTCTTTGGATTTCCTGTTGCACCCTCAAAGTCAAACTTCTCCAACCTCTTAATCAAATCTTGTGTTCAGTAACAACCTTTACATTGAAAGTACAGACTTTGTTGATCAACTAGAAAGAAAAATGTCACCTTCATGTAAGTATCTTTGTCATCCAAAGGTTGCAGATACACTGGCACAGGCAAATTCTTCATTTTGCAGTCACTTGGACCACCATTTGTCGCCTAAGGAGAAACCAACAAGCTACATGAATGCTTTTGAGAGAGAGATGGCTGATACCAAGTGGGGTGCGGTATTTGGAGAAATTACAGTGGATATGTAATCCAAAAGGCAAATCTCAACATGCTTCACTTTGCATAACTCCCAATCTATCTAGTGCTCAACCTGTCCTCTTTCTCAATGCAACACATCAGATACTTCAAGTATAGATACCCACAGAGTTGTCATGCTCCTTCTCTCATGCTTGATAAAGAAAGGAACTGAATTCAGAAGTCTTTATGTTTGGACCTATTTGCTTATCATTAACAGCATGCGTTGAGGAAAATATTAAATCAGATCTTAAGTTCACATCACAGCAGGAATGAGCTGAAACTCTTGCTTGATTGTGAATGCAGCTAAACGGCATCCAATAATAATAATTTTAGGTCATCTTTATAAAAATTGGCATTGCGAACCTATGGGTTATGGCTGTTTATACAGGTCAACATAAAAATATCCCTAGATAACAAGGTGTAGAGCTGGATGAACACAGCAGGCCAAGCAGCATCAGAGGAGCAGGAAAGCTGACGTTTCGGGCCGAGACCCTTCAGGAATGGGGTTCTGAAATAAATAGGGAGAGAGGGGGAGGCGGATAGAAGATGGATACAGGAGAAGATAGGTGGAGAGGAGACAGACAGGTCAGAGAGGCGAGGGTGGAGCCAGTAAAGGTGAGTGTAGGTGGGGTGTTAGAGAGGGGATAAGTCAGTCCAGGGAGGACGGACAGGTCAAGAGGGCAGGATGAGGCTAGTAGGTAGGAGATGGGGGTGGGGCTTGAGGGGGGAGGAGGGGATAGCTGGAAGGAAGGATAGGTTAGGGAGGCGGAGACAAGCTGGGCTGGTTTTGGGATCATAGGGGCAGGGGAGATTTTGAAGCTTATGAAGTCCACATTGATACCATTGGGCTGCAGGGTTGCCAAGCGATATGAGGTGCTGTTCCTGCAACCTTCGGGTGGCATCGTTGTGGCACTGCAGGAGGCGCAGGATGGACGTGTTGTCTGAGGAATGGGAGGGGGAGTTGAAATAATTCGCAGCTGGGAGGTGCAGTTGTTTAGTGCGAACCGAGCGTAGGTGTTCCGCAAAGCGGTCCCCAAGCCTCCACTTAGTTTCCCCGATGTAGAGGAGGCCACATCTGGAACAGCAGATACAGTATACCACATTAGCAGATGT